ACAATAAAAATGCCGTTCTAGATATCGCCAAAGAAATCAGAAAAATGGCCCGTGTACCAGTCCAAAAATAAAAATCAGCAATGACCACTAACTGGTGGGATAATACATTGGGGATAGAGTAGTAGAAGAAGGTAAGTTTCTTCTCCTTGTAGCAGTGCTACAGCTGGTTTAATATTTCTTCCTTGTTTAATCCCCTGTTTAATTTGGCTAATCACCAAAGTAGTGCAAGGCATGCAAATAGTAGTAATGCCTACAGACTCAAAATTGGCTACATCTGGAATGGCACAAAAAAATCATGGTATTAAGAAAACAAAATAATGTGAAAGATCCATTGGAAGAAGCTAAACTGATTTGTGAGAAAAATGAACGAGTGCTAGAAGCTAGAAAACAAGAATTATTGCTCAAGCCAAATGATTTATAAAAAAAATAAAAGGAGGGCTTGTTGTGAATTAATGTTGTAAATATTGGCTTTTCACAATTATTCTGATAAATATATTATATGCTTTCACTATATTCTTTTCTCTTAGCAAGTTACAGGCTTAGTTAGGAATTCTGAATGGTAAGGATATGTCTCATCTGGAGAAGGCAAGATAACTCCAACAGGCAAGACAACGGGAGGATCAAGCTGTGGAAAACAGGCTATTATCAGCAGCAGGAAATGGAGAGCAAACTGTTACCAAAAAGCCGGTACCAGGACGTTGGCAAGGGGGAAAGATATGAAGCCCATCTGCTCTCTGAGGAAGTATAAGGGGCCTGGACCCTTATCAACAAGTGACCATCTGCAGCAGAAAGGAAACCAAACTCCAAAATAATGCTGACCAGCAGAAAATAACATGATCCAAGAAGGTGGAACCAGGGAGGGGACATGCTTGAATATGCATTAACCTCTCACAGCAAAGATGGGATAAAAAGGACACTCCTGAGATACCAGGTGTGTTCCTGGTAACCCACCAGGGCACCCGGCCATTTTAACCCTTTGCTTTATTTCTTTTGTCTGCTAATTGTCTTTTGTTTATATTAAATTCTTTTTATAATTTATTAAGTGAATCTCGTTTTTAAGATAGGTTTGAATCTCACTTTTCTTCCCAGATTTCGGTCACCATTTGTAGGTTTTCAAGCAAGGCAAGCACCCTGAATAGAAGCCAGCTCGGTAGCCCTCCTCGGCTACACGGACCATAACCCACAGCATCAATGTGATGGATGGCGAATATGGTGTTTATTGCAGGGGAATTTAACATTTTATAACCTAGGGTCACTGTGTTACTCCCATCTGCTTTCATCACAGCTAGGTGCTATTGGCTAATTGCAGGAGTCATTACCATACTATGTGGAGAAGGGGTGTTACTAACTTTCCATTACATCCCGATATTTTCCGAACACAAGGCCTTAAACTACAACAACCCAGGGCCTAAGAGAATTATCCCTAAGAAATGCACTTCAGCCACTAGTGCTCTATTTCAGTTCTCAGTGGGGGTGTTGTTCTAAAATATTACTACATAGCATTTGCCTCAGAGTATTTTTTTTTTGATAAATTAATCAGCAGACCTTTACAAAATCGATTTCTGAATTACAGACCAATATTAACCAGATGCCCAAGACTCGAAATGTGTTACAGGAGGCAAAAAACTGTTCCCACAAGGATTTGCTGCCCCTCTGTGCTAGCTCAACTAAGAGCTAAGAATATCATAAGAATGATATTCTGGAAAGGAATGTCCATAAAAATGCACCAACTCACTTGTGTCTCCTGAAAATAACCAATAATTCTTATCCTTCAATGTTTTCAAAACATTTTTCATTAACTTCTCCTGTCACCTAATCAGGGCAATTAGAAGTTTTGTCTTAAGGCAAGGCAGCCTTTTCAGCTTGCTAATAGCATTTTGTGCAACAGAACACGTCTTTGTTTTATGATACAGCATTCCTCTATCCTCAAAGATTCAAATTTAGTAGATTGATCCTGACCCCCACATACCATATTACTATGGTCATTATTTCTACAGAAATTATCCATTGATAAAATAGCCTATTCAACACTTATTCCATGGGATGGATCCCAGCTTTAGCCCTAAACCCATGCCTGCCTGAAATTGCTCTTAAAGCAAAATTCCTAAAGGATCTGCATCTAAATTTCATAAAGCTTATCTCCAGCTATAGGATCCCATTATCACAATCTTTATAACAGAAGCTCACAGAATATCCAGATGAGATTTTGAAATTACTGTTTTGCATTACTTATTTAGATCCATTCCTGCATAAACATAGTTTATTTAGAAACTGCCATCACCACCTTCATGATGCTGAAGGATGTATCTCAATGCAAATTCTGTAACAGTGAAGAACTAATTCTGTTATCATAAAAGCCTATTAAAAAATCAGCCAACTGAACTGTTTTGCTCCTAATAGCTATTTAAATGGGAAATCTAATTTTGGTTTAGATTAAACACTGTATTTCAAAATGAAAACTTAATCTAAATATAATTGGATGAAATTACTTTGAACCGGTGCCAAAGTCTACTGGTTGAATGCAACTCATCATGGTTTGCTCTTCGGTTGCAGTGACTGTTAAAACTCAATCTCATGTCTGGTGGATTCTAAAGGGTATTTTAGTCACTTTCAAAAGGGCCATACAGTCCTAATCCCTAGACAGATTTACGGTAGCTGTGTTGGTTATTCTGTCATGGAGTCACAGAGACACAGAATTACAGAATGGCCAAGGTTGGCTGATCTGAAAGAACATGGAAGATGGGAGAACCAATCATGAGGACAAAAGGCTTGCTACATGACAGAGTAGTAAAATATGTTGTCTAGACACAGTTCTGACCAAAACCTACCAAAAACTATTGCATTTCTGAATTACATCTACTAAAGCCAAGAGAAAAATATCCCAAAAGTGACAAGCTTGTTGAATTATACTTCATTCAGTGTTTTTGTGAAGGGTAACAATGTTCCAAAGCTTTAAAAACAAACTGCAGTATTCCTTCATACTTCAGATTTCATTATATCCCTTTGTATTTACAGACTCATCCCAGACAGAAAGAAAAGGGATTGCTGCCAACTGTGTGGCTGATCCCAGATCACCACCTCCAATCAGACAGGGCATTTATAGAATCACAGAATGCTTGGGGTTCAAAAGCATCTTCAAAGCCCATCTGGTCCAAAATCCTTGCAACAAGTAGGGCCGTCTTCCACCAGACTAGGTTGCTCAGGGCCCTGTCCGACATCAATTGTTTGGGGCTGGGGCATCTACCAGCTGTTTGGGCAACCTGTGCCAGAGTTCCACCACTCTCCTCATAAACAATTTCTTCCTTCTATTTAGTGTGAATCTACCCCTCTTTAATGTAAAAGCATTACCCCCTGTCCTATTGGCACAAGCCCTATTAAAAAGGCTGTCCACATGATTCTTATAAGCTGCCTTTAGGTCCTGAAATGTGGCAATAAGATCTCCTTGGAGCCTTGTCTTGTCCAGGCTGAACAACCCCAGCTGTCTCAGACATTCCTTGTACAAGAGATGTTCCATCATTCTCATCACTTTTGTGGCACTCCTTCGGACCTAATCAGACAGATCCATGTCCTCCCATGCTGGGGACCTCACAGCTGGATGTTGATATTGGAACACACAGAGGGTCAGAGATCTGGTATTTTGTTAGCAGGAATAAAATATTATTAGTTATCTTGCAGGACTAATCCAGGAGGATATCCAGCATACATCACACTCTAAACCATTTAGTCCCATCAATGACTTTGATATCATGGCTTGTTCCCACACAAGACACATAATTTTATACTTCAAATCGTACCATAATATTAACAAGACTTTCATTAGTAAATTGTCTTGTTTTTCTTTTCCTGGTTCCTGGGAGAGAAGACAGAACATAACTAGAATAACAACAAAACCAAATTATTTTATGTCTGGACTTCCCTTGTTTCAGTGTTGACTGTAGCTCTAATTGAATGTTGGATACAGGCTGTTTTCTTCAAGTTTAGGTTGAAAACCTGCCTGGCATTTTCAACTGAGAATTTTATTCTGTATC